TGACCCAAATGGGATCATGCACTTGGGAAGTATAATACAGTGGACCCCCGCATAACGATCACCTCCGAATGCGACCAATTATGTAAGTGTATTTATGTAAGTGCGTTTGTGCGTGTATGTTTGGGGGTCTGAAATGGACTAATCTACTTCACAATATTCCTTATGGGAACAAATTCGGTCAGTACTGGCACCTGAACATACTTCTGGAGTGAAAAAATATCGTTAACTGGGGGTCCACTGTAAATTATATCGAATGTAATAAATTGTATCGGATTCAAATCGTTTTACTAGGGAGGGATGATGCTAAAATTTTTGCCGATGTAGATATTCAGTTTCAGGTCGATGTAAGTACTATCAAAATTAGTTGATATCACTGGTGCTGATACTTTGATACCCCGATAGTTTATATCTTATTGGATGGCCATTGTCAAGTGAGGGCCGACCGAGGGTGCCTTGCTGGCTTGATCCCTTCATCCCTTCTGGCTCCTCAAGGGAGGTTCCTTGATGCTAGTGAGGGGCTCTTTATCTAGGGAATTGGATCTGTGCTCTGGTTCCCTGAATTGAGCCTGAATACCTTCCATCCCCCCTCCCCAACACGTGCTCTATAATCCCACGGGTTTAGCGCTCCCTCATGATTATAATTATAAAAAAAATCGTCCCTTCTGGGGATGTGCCTTGATGCCAGTGCAGGGGGTCTTGATCTTAGGAACCAGATTTGTTCTCTCCTTTGCATCAAACCTTAATAACTCTCAATAGCCAGGCACTATATGACCTCTCCAGGTTTAATGCCTTCTTTTGATTATTATAAAAATGGCCACAAATCTACTACTTTCCCTAATGGGGCCAGTCCCTGGACCCATTATGTACCTCTGTAATCTGTAAATACCTTTGTAACGTGTCATCATTGTGACTAGACCTACGTGGAGTTCATTACCTTTGTAAATTGTGAGTTCATTACCTTTGTAAATTGTGAGTTCATTACCTCTGTAACTTGCTCAGCTATCAAAACTTTGGAGTCCAGTCCCTGGACCAATTATGTACCTCTGTAATCTTTTGACTATCGCCCACAGGATGGGTATGTGGTGCATAATAAACATATTAAACTAAAACTAAACCCTAATATGTAAGAGGTGCAAACAATCGCAGACGGGCGATCTTAACTATGCAAGACAAGCCATGGGGGTGGAAATCTTTAGCTCTAGATTTCCACCATTCCTGGCTTGTCTTGCATATAAGAGGTATACAAGTAGGGGTGTATCTACGAGAAACAGTGACTGGAGTTTACCTGGAGTTTACCTGGAGAGAGTTCCGGGGTCAATGCCCCCGCAGCCCGGTCTGTGACCAGGCCTCCAGGTGGTGACCAGGAGCCCCTGTCCAAGCATCTGACACCCATCTTTTATATAACTTAACCATAAAAGTCAGCTCAAAAATACAAATCAAGCTCATTAATCTTCTAATTAACAAACTACATGAAAATTACAACTACACCTTCCTTATTTTCACTGATGCTAAGTGGTCTATGAGGTGCTCAAATTCAGTTTTTTTCAGTTTCTTATACAGTGGACCCCGGTTAACGAACTTTTTTCATTCCAGTAGTATGTTCAGGTGCCAGTACTGACCGAATTTTTTCCCATAAGGAATATTGTGAAGTAGATTAGTCCATTTCAGACCCCCAAACATACACGTACAAATGCACTTACATAAATACACTTACATAATTGGTCGCATTTGGAGGTGATTGTTAAGCGGGGGTCCACTGTAATTCTACATTCAGCAGAGCAAGATCACAGAGTCTGCCTTGATCCATGGAGTCTCTCAAATAGGAAAGTGTACTTTTAACTTGCTGAATCATCTCTCACAGCTGCCAACAGAAATTGCAATGGTTAACATTATCAGAATAGCAATGTGAAGATTGGGGAAAACGCTCTCATATCCATACTGAGCAATAAATTTGAAAAGCTCTTTAGGTCGAATGTTGATATCGACTTGATATCAACATTCTGCAGTACAAAATTTCTTCATATAGCTGCTGTCTATCAACATCAGAGCTGTACAATTTGCCTAAATTTTCACATTTCTTCATCCACGAACCTTTCATCCACTTCTCCGTGAAGATGATCGAGTGTTCCCTTCATGAATTTATCATTTCCTCCCTGGCATTCATCTTTTAACTTCAATATTCCATTCTTAACAGAGACTGAGTCCTTCTTCGAGTGAGTCACTGACCAACACGTCTCTTTCATCATCAAAATGATCTCAGAGAGCTTTCAAATCCAGGGCAGCATGGTGGAAGTTCATGATTGGATCCAGTAGCCTCTTTTGAATACGATCAATGCGAATGATATTTTATTCCAAAATCCTAGAAGTCAGAAAATCGTAACTTAGCATGCAGTTATACAGTTGCCTTGCATCCCTTCTTGTTTCACAGGTCTCATTTTCATTGTCTACCATGTCCTGGAGAAGTTGAAGTATCTCTTCAAGGTGTTTGTTGATGGGCTTTACTGCTTGTCTTTGCACTCCATCTAGTTTTGGACTCCAACTTAACAACCACAGGTACGGCGTTTTTTTTTTTTAGCTTTTCCCAGCACTGTGTTGAACGAGAGAAGAACACGTAGAAAGCTTTGATGATTCTAAAAAACTTGACCATCATTGTATCCTGCTTGGCTGCATGTACACCCACAAAGTTGGGTGAATGATTGTCGCAGTTCACAAATGCTGCCAGGTTGTTTTTCCTCACTTGTTCTTTGATGAACACTACTTCTGTGTCCAGCCATCACAACAGTGTTGTCATAGCACTGTGACCGACAGTCTCATAGCTCCATTTCGTCCTTCTCTAGCTGCTTCAAGATATCTTCAACCAGCCTCTCAGCATTCTTCTGGTTCCTCTTGATAAACCCAGGGAAGGACTCTAACACGGACTGTTTTCCTTTAAAAATCAACTTCCATGAACCCAACACTTTTGACATCTGCTCATGGTATGCTTGATCAGGAGTCGAGTCGAGCATGAGACTACAGTACTTGGCTTTACAAATGCTTCTCAGTAAACTCTGGCGAACTTAGGATGCCATAATTTGAATGAATTCGCTCTGGGCACCCAGTGAAAGATGAAACGTGGATCCAGGATTATTTTCCACACGAGTGGGGTTTTCTTTCCCACATTCACTCCGTGTCACTTGAGGTGTGCTCAAGGCACATTCCTTTAAGAAAAAGGAGGAGAAGATGTAAACTAGAAAGAGAGGGACACTCCCTATACAGGCGAAGGCGAAGAATCACAGAGCTGCTGAAAGGGGCCAGTATATTTACAAAACGAGGATAATTATCACATGTGAGAGAATGTATTTCACGGAGCTGTAAACCCGTGTGGGTTATTCAGCCCATGGAGTATTGTAAGCCCTGCACAGGATATACCCTGATGGGTGCATTCTTCTCAGAGTATATGAGTAAGTTTATTTAGGCACAGGTACACATAGGTACAATTATCATAGTGTAAATTACCCAGGACAGCCAACAAAGGACCCATTGGGCTCCTTGTAATATCTTTTTACTTAAACCTTAAAAGTTAAAACAGCTAAATAACTCACCTGTGTAAAAATGCTACATTATTATAATTATTATAATCATGGGGAAGCATTAAACCCATAGGATTATACAGCGCATGGGGGGGGGGAATGAAAGGTATTCAGGCTCAATTCAGGGAACCGGAGAACAGATCCAATTCCCTAGATCAAGATCCCCTCACCAGCACCAAGGAACCTCCCTTGAAGGGAAAATGCTACAGTAAAAATAGATGTACTAGGAATAAGATAAACTGAGTTATTTACATTAACGTTGAAGAGAGGATCAGCTTATAATAGGTACCTGAATGTTAGTTTTAAAAGAAAACCCTCTTCCTACTTACTGTAGCTTCATTCATTAGGTGTCTTTTAGCTTTCTTCCTGAACTGGCTCATGCTAGGACAGGCTTTGACATGTACACGCAATCCCTATTAATTTCTATTTTAGGGATTAAAGCATTCTTGGGCCAGACGAGCCTGCCCCAAGGCCGGGCTCTGGGGATAAAAACTCTGGGACTTCATTAGGGACCCCAGTGGAATTAAGTCATTTTGACTTTTTATTGGGATTATCCTAGAGGGACTAGTACCGAACTTGCACACGAAAATCACTCACTACGAAAGCAAAAGACTTGGCAGACGATGCACCATCCCCCCAATGAAAAGCAGGGGTGTCACTAGCACGTTAAGAGACCATACAATAAGTGTCAGGGGCCCGAGACTGTTCAACTGCCTCCCAGCATACATAAGGGGGATTACCAACAGACCCCTGGCAGTCTTCAAGCTGGCACTGGACAAGCACCTAAAGTCGGTTCCTGATCAGCCGGGCTGTGGCTCGTACGTTGGTTTGCGTGCAGCCAGCAGTAACAGCCTGGTTGATCAGGCTCTGATCCACCAGGAGGCCTGGTCACAGACCGGGCCGCGGGGGCGTTGACCCCCGGAACTCTCTCCAGGTAAACTCCAGGTAGGTAATCAACACATATACTGCTATGTATGATAGCTTGTATAATCGTACTTGTATGTACCTGTACCTTAACAAACTTAATGAAGGTACAGATGCAGCCTTAAAAGGCGCGTGTGTGTCCCTGTCTCCTATTATCATGTTCATTTTTACCCTATAAACTACCTTGTCCATAGTTACTATCGCATTTCTTTTGTCTGCTTTCGTAAGGTGAAGTCTACGATCTTTCCTTAATTCACCTTACGAAAGCAGACAAAGCAAATGCGATAGTAATAATGGACAAGGTAGATTATAGGGGAAAATAGCATATTTTTAGAAGATAGGGGAAATAACATGCCCCTTAATGACCCTCGTGCAGTCGACAGGCTTTAAACCTTGTAGGCTGTACTCTCAGTTAATCTCAGCCTAGTCTGTGACCAGTTAGGCTGTCAGTGGGGAAGATAAGACAAGAGAAGGAGCAGATTATGATATCAGGAGCGGCGGTCAAGTGGTTTTAGCCCTCAGTTGCTGGCCTCACACCCCTCGTTACAGTCACAGCCTCATACACTCAACCTACACTCGCTTATTCCCACCTGTCTGTGGTCACAGAGGGTCAAGCCTCAGCTCCTGGCCCCCACCTCTTTGCTGTGTCATTTATTACCGTATATTCCGTGATTTAAATACGATTATAACTGAATAGGAAAAGAGGGGGAGTGAACAACAGTCAAGTGTTCACGAAATAAGTCAGTTCAGTATGTCTGTAGAATAACAATGAAGCCAAGACTATTCTTACTAAATCTGCTTCTCATCACTGGTAAGTACATTATATTTTGCTAAGTGGAAGTAGTACCTTGATGATGTTGGCTGATTAATTGATTTTATAACCTGTGGACTACCCGATGGTCATTAAGGAGGATTGTAACCTACTCGCCTGGAATTAGAAATATTTTAATACCTTAAATAGGGATTTAAAGTAAACTCTGTGTATATACACTGAGATACATACACCTGTGTATATACACTGAGATACATACACCTGTGTATATACACTGAGATACATACACCTGTGTATATACACTGAGATACACCTGTGTATATACACTGAGATACACCCGTGTATATACAATGAGACGCATACACCCCTCAGTGTATATACAATGAGACGCATACACCTCTCTGTATATACAATGACACATACACCTGTGTATATACAATGAGACCCATACACCTCTGTATATACAATGAGACCCATACACCTCTGTATATATAATGAGACGCATACACCTCTGTATATACAACGAGGCGCATACACTTCTGTGTATATACAATGAGACACATACACCTCTGTATATACAACGAGGCGCATACACTTCTGTGTATATACAATGAGACACATACACCTCTGTATATACAATGAGACGCACACACCTCTATATACAATGAGACGCACACACCTCTGTATATACAATGAGACGCACACACCTCTGTATATACAATGAGACGCATACACCTCTGTATATACAATGAGACGCATACACCTCTGTATATACAATGAGACGCACACACCTCTGTATATACAATGAGACGCACACACCTCTGTATATACAATGAGACGCACACACCTCTGTATATACAATGAGACACATACACCTCTGTATATACAATGAGACGCACACACCTCTCGGTGTATATACAATGAGACGTACACACCTCTCGGTGTATATACAATGAGACGCACACACCTGCCAGTGTATATACAACGAGACGCATACACCTCTGTGTATATACAATGAGACGCATACACCTCTGTGTATATACAATGAGACGCATACACCTGTATATACAATGAGACGCATACACCTCTGTGTATATAAACTGAGACGCGCACACCTCTGTGTGTATACAATGAGACGCACACACCTCTGTGTATATACAATGAGACGCACACACCTCTGTGTATATACAATGAGACGCACACACCTCTGTGTATATACAATGAGACGCACACACCTTTCAGTGTACATACAATGAGAGACGCACACCTCTCGGTGGAGGTATGTGTTAACGAATTGTTAAAATCATGAATATATGTTAAAATTACTCTAAATGTGGAAGAATTAAACCAGTTTCAATACGGATGATAACCACTGAAACAGAATGGAGTTTCGATTCATAACGGAAGTGACCCGGGTTCGATTCCCGGGTGGGTTGACCATATAGTCAAGTCACCTAACACACGTTTAGCACTGAATGACCCTCACTGGTTTAGTGTTCTTATGAATACTACAATAATAAGAGAAAAATAAAAAATACACAATACCGAGACTGGAATAATACACAAAGTATATGTACAAGGCTGAAGACAAACTCAGTTGGATCGAAACGTTGACGTACGTTTCTCTCCTGTGTGTGAATTGCGCATGAAATAATAATTATCAATTATTATTATTATTAATTATTAATTATTATTATTAATTATGAACTAATCATAATCCTTACAATTGTTACCTCGTTCATTTATCAGTAAACAGATATCCAGGGATACAAACAGACTGTTGTGGGTGGCATCCTGGGAAAGGGGGGGGGGAAGGGATGGTAGTATAGATAGAGCTGGACTTTGAAATGAGCCAAGATAATAACATCTCTTACTCTGTTAGACTCATTAATGTCAATAATGAGACATAATAACATTCACACTTAAAACTTTACCAAGAGGAGATTATGTTAAGTTTGTCAGGAAACAGGACAAGTGTTTCGTTTTGGTCATCTGACCGAGGCCTTCCACAGGCTTACCAGTCTAACCCTTTAAAATTTATTAAGGTTATGGATTTTGTTACACACACACACACACACACACACACACACACACACACACACACACACACACAAATGTTTTTGTGTGTGTTTGTTTTTGTGTTTGTATTCACCTGGTTGTGGTTGCAGGGGTCGAGTCACAGCTCCTGCCCCCGCCTCTTCACTGGCCGCTACTAGGTCACTGTTCCTGCTCCTTGAGCTTTATCGTGTGTGTGTGTGTGTGTGTGTGTGTGTGTGTGTGTGTGTGTGTGTGTGTGTGTGTGTGTGTGTGTGTGTGTGTGTGTGTGTGTATTTCTAGGAACGAAGGAAAGCAGCTGACTTTACTGGTGTACCAAAAAGAGACCTCGTTCAGCTTAACCCGTAGAAATAATTTGTAAATAATACACGTTAATATCTAAATTAATGTGGGTTATCCATCGCAAGACTTAGTATCAAATCATTTAGGTACAGCGACACAGTTAGTCATCATACATAGTAACATGCAAAATAACCACAGTTAGTCTTCCTGAAATGCATCGGCATGATAGGAGCTTTCTTAAATAACAAAAACGCACAATACCGTGACTGGAACGATACACAAATAACCCGCACATAAAAGAGAGAAGCTTACGACGACGTTTCGGTCCGACTTGGACCATTGACAAAGTCACAAAGTGGCACGTCGCAAATCAGTATTGTAATTACACATTGTAAGTTATGCAAGGTAATAAGCTGAAATATTAAGTGAATTTTTGTTGTAATTTTAAGTTATTTCATTAATTTCTGAGAAATTAAGAAAACTCTAGGAAGAGTAAGAGAGCCACAGAAACGATTAAGTAAATAAGTGAAATTAGATTAAGTGTTGTGGTGTAAAGAAACTATGAATGGTGTAGTCAGTGTGTTTTCCTAGCCAGATAATTATCAGTGAGGGTCTGAACAACAGTCTTGATGATAACACCCAGAGATACTCCACACAGATTACTGGAAGACGGAATCACATTGATCACGGGTTATGTCACTGTACTCAAGGCACACTACTGTGTGTGTGTGTATTTGTGTGTGTGTGTATTTGTGTACTCACCTATTTGTACTCACCTATTTGTGGTTGCAGGGGTCGAGTCCTAGCTCCTGGCCCCGCCTCTTCACCGGTTGCTACTAGACCCTCTCTCTCCCCGCTCCATGAGCTTTATCAAACCTCGTCTTAAAACTGTGTATGGTTCCTGCCTCCACTACGTCATTTTCTAGGCTATTCCACTGCCTTACAACTCTATGACTGAAGAAATACTTCCTACTATCTCTCTGACTCATTTGTGTCTTCAACTTCCAATTGTGGCCTCTTGTTTCTGTGTCCCCTCCCTGGAACATCCTGTCCTTGTCCACCTTGTCTATTCCACGCAGTATTTTATATGTCGTTATCATGTCTCCCCTGACCCTCCTGTCCTCCAGTGTCGTCAGGCCGTGTGTGTGTGTGTGTGTGTGTGTGAACTCGCCTATTTGTGGTTGCAGGGGTTGATTCACAGCTCCTGGCCTCGCCTCTTCCCTGGTCGCTACTAGGTCCACACACTCCTTGCTCCATGAGCTTTATCGTATCTCTTCATAAAGCTATGTATAGATCCTGCCTCCACTACATCACTCTCCAGATTGCTCCGTTTCCTGACGGCTCTATGACTGAAGAAATACTTTCTAACATCTCTGTGATTCATCTCAGCCTTCAACTTCAACTTGTGACCCCTTTTTGCAGTGTCCCATCACAGAAACATTCTATCCCTATCCACCTAGTCAATTTCTCTCACCATCTTTTAACTTATGTCCCTCTTATGCCTCCCATCCTCCAGTGTCGACAGGTTGATTTCTCATATCCTCTCATCGTAGGACATACCCCTTAGCTGCGGGACTAGTCTTGTTGCAAACCTTTGCACTTTCTCTAATTTCTTGACGTGCTTGATCAGGTGTGGGTTCCATACGGGTGCTGCATACTCGAATATGGGACTGACGTACAGTGTACAGTATCTAAATGACTGACGTACAGTGTACAGTATCTAAATGACCCGGTGGGTGGGTGTGTACTCAATGTGTGTCTGTGTGTGATTGAATAAAGCTTATTTTTTTTAATCACATATCACTTTGAGGAATCAGATACATATGCGACACTTGGGCATCTCTATTGCCTAAACGTATCGCCTGCACGGGAGGCTTTTCCAATCAAATACACAGGTACATAACACTGGAGACATTACAAGTGATAAATTTGAAGATACGAGTCCCTTAGCCAGAGTAGAAAGTTGTCAGTCCTCGAGCATGAAGCACTGTCATGGAACCAGACCTTATATACTGGAGAAGCAATGTGAAGCAGCTGGAGGTGACTGATGACCTCAAAAAATACTTTAACTGCCTACATTGCTGTATTCACCTGTATTCGACTGAAGAAGCCTCCTGTGTAGGAGGCTTTTTCAGTTTAATTATATATATATATATATATATATATATATATATATATATATATATATATATAATATATATATAATATAATATATCTACACAGGAACCGCCCAGGGAGGTACTACCGTCCTGCCAAGTGAGTGTCAAACGAAAGCCTGTAATTGTTTTGCATGATGGTAGGATTGCTGGTGTCTTTTTTCTGTCTTATAAACATGCAAGATTTCAGGTACTTCTACTTAACACTTGGGTCACACTACACATGCATGTACAACCATATACACATCCCTCTGTGTTCTATTTTCTTACTAGTTCTTGTTCTTATTTATTTCATCTTATCTCCATGGGGAAGTGGAACAGAATTCTTCCTCCGTAAGCCATGCGTATCGTAAGAGGCGGCTAAAATGCCGGGAGCAAAGGGCTGGTAACCCATTCTCCTGCATATATTACTAAATATAAAAGGAGAAACTTTCGTTTTTCCTTAACGAAATGAAAAGCGGGTGACATCTACGACAACGCGAGGCTGGTGGTGCGTTCTCTCCCGGACGCTAGAGAAGGTAGAGTATAAATAACAAAAAAGGCACAATACCGTGACTGGAACAATACGCAAATAACCCGCACATAGAAGAGAGGAGCTGACGACGACGTTTCAGTTTGACTAAATGATTCAAGTCGGACCGAAACGATGTCGTAAGCTCCTCTTTCCTACGTGCGGGTTATTTGTGTAGGGTAGAGTATAGATTTCTGTATGGGATATGTAAGAGAGATATTAATATAACAGTTGTAATAATAGCGTATAACCGTTCAATCTAGTTGAATGGTTATTCCCTTGTCTATGGTCACAGGCGTCTGTGGATCACTTCTCAAGTGAATCTTTCAACAAAATGGCGGTATCCCACCGAGGCAGGGTGACCCAAAAAGAAGAACGAGTGTTTGCTTTTAAATTCAGTAATTTATACAGGAGAAGGGGTTACTAGCCCTTTGCTCCCAGCATTTTAGTCACCTCTTACAACACGCATGGCTTACGGAGGAAGAATTCTGTTCCACTTCCCCATGGAGATAAAAAAGGACAAGAACTAGTAAGAAAGAAGAAAACTGAGAGAAAAGTGTATTTATATATGCTTGTACATGCATGTACAGTGTGACCTAAGTGTAACTAGAAGTAGCAAGACGTACCTGAGATCTTGCATGTTTACGAGACAAAAAAGAGATCACCAATCTTACCATCATGCAAAACTAGTATACAGGCTTCCTTTTTACATTCACGTAAATATCCCAGTAAAACCATACAAACAAAAGTATAGTGTGTATTACCTCCCTGACGTAAACCAGAGCCACTTAGATCACCGGATCAGTTTCTCCAGTTTGTTGTTGTCACGATATTGCAAAAACTTCCTTCATGGGCAGAAGCGATTAACATACTATCTCGGCTATCCACTCCCAAAATGCTTTGAATAATTATGGTCTTTACCGTGTATGGTAACTTATATCATTCAATTTCTTTACAATGTATCATCTTGGTAAATGCATTTGTTTATGCTGTGAACACAACATTTGCTTCCTGTTAGCTCTTTCTGAAAAAGAAATTGTGTGGGCACCAGCTAGGGCCCTGAAGACCCATTAAATAGTCAAGGATTATGAGGAGATTTTTAACATCGTAGCCGAGTGGTAACAATGTTTGCTCTTGTTACAAAGGTTGTGGGATGGGCCCTTAGCTCTTCCTTACACGCATATGATAACTGCAACTAGACGGGGATCGAATCCAAGATATTTAACCAGCCTTCCTGGACATTAGGTAAATTTTTCGATGTCATAGTCCAATAGACCACCATGGTAGCCATTTGACCAATTTCTTAGCTATTTGGGTAGTATGCCGCCCATTCAACTATTTGTTACCCTATAAAGTGCGCAGAAGTCGACTTCTGCGCACTTTATAGTGGACTAAGCCATAGAGAAATTTACGTAGTGTCCCGGGAGCCTGATTGAATATCTTGGGTTCCCAGTGGAAATAAGTCATTTTGTCTGACTTCTTCTTTTGTGGGGGAGGGGGGTGGGTTATCCTAGGTAATTTACACACATGTTACTATGTATGATAATTGTATATATGATTAAATAATCTTACTAGACGCAGAATTGTTACCTTAAAACCACTTGTTTCGTGGAGGCATTAATACGCATATATGTTGAGAAATGTTTCTGCAGGTGTGTTGGTGAGGGCAGCTGAGGGAACCAGTTGCGGACAGGATGAATATCAGTGTCCTGTCAGCCTTGAGTGTATCAACAAGGACTGGTTATGTGATGAGTTTCCCGACTGTGATGACAAGACTGATGAACCACCTCATCAAGACTGCTCGGTGAGTTTTGATAACCCTTCATCCATTAATTACTTTTACCCCTGATGATTGGTATGAACCTTGTCAATAGATACCGAGATACTGGTTTAGAAAGATATATAAGTAAACACAAGGGCATATTAGAAAATAATAATCAGTAAATAATAATTAGTAAATAATAATCTTTATTTACTACAAGTACATGCACAAGGTATACAGCCCTGGCTGACATCAGTGACATACTACTATATAGAAAGACCTTTGTTATGCTGACTATTTCGAGCAAATTAGGTCAGTTTTGTCCCAGGATGCGACCCACACCAGTCTACTAACACCCAGGTACCCATTTTAAACTGATGGGTGAAAAGGAAGAGACAGCATGTGTCTTATGGAAACCACATTGTTAATGTTTCCCAGCCGTACCGGTGGAGATTCGAACTCCGGACCTAGGTGTGTGAGCTGAGTGCTCAAGTGATCAAGCTACAAGGCACCGTAGGACGATGATGCGTTAATATTGGTCAATAAAGAGCCCCCAGATGTTTCTCGTGTATCTCATCACTTATTGGTGTCATTATCCTATAATCTTACCTTTTAAACGGGTGTACCCGTAAACCAGTGGAAGGCGTCGACGCACAAGTTTAGCCAAAAAGGGGTTTTATTAATCCACTTCAGAGAAAAGCAGTGGAAAATATGAAACAAAGCAGAAGATTGATGTAACCAGTCCTTCGGACTAGAGATAATTGGTTCAGTCGTTGTGGCATGAGACCAGACCTCTTGCTATGCTTGTATCAAGGCTGATACGAACAAAGCTGAGATATAAACACATTCTTATCAAAGCTAATGCGAACAAAGCCTTGATACAAATATGTTGCTATCAAGGCTGATACGAAGAAAACCTTGATATAAACATAAGTTCGTATCAAGGCTGATGGACTCTAGACTCAGGAACTGATTATACTTGAGAGTGTAACTGGAAGGTGTTTCGGAGATCAATGCCCCCGCGACCGGGTCCATGACCAGGCCTCGCGGTGGATCAGGGCCTGATCAGCCAGGCTGCTACTGCTAGCAGCACGCAAACCGACATACGAACCACAACCCAACTGGTCAGGTACTGACTAGGTGTCTGTCCAGCTCCTTGAAGACAGCCAGGGGTCTATTGGTAATCCTCCTTACGTATGCTGGGAGGCAAATAAACAGTCTTGGGCCCCTCACACTTACTGTGTTCTTTCTTAACGTACTCGTGGCGCCCCTGCTTTTCACTGGGGGGATGTTGCATCTCCTGCCAAATCTTTTGATTTCGTAAGGAGTGATTTCTGTGTGTAGATTTGGGCCTAGTCCCTTTTGAATTTTCCAAGTGTATATCATCGAACTTCCCCCTTACATCTCCCACTACTTTTCTCCGAATTATTTAAAAAAAAGCGAATGGCGAAACGTTTCCTCGTTGAATATACCCAAGTGTTACCCTAGTGTTTCACACACACTATCCCTTGAAAGAAAATGACGAAACGAGATTATTCGTCCTTTTAAGGGAATAAAGACGCCCAGTGGGTAAAAACAAGACCCAGTTGCAGAGGGCAGTATATTGAGACGTTTCGCTCGTGAAATAGGCTACTGAGACTGTTAATCTATCTCATGAACGATGAGAGGGAAGCCTGTTGACCTCTAGTGTGATCAGCTGAGATGACTGGAAAGGGAAGCCTCTTGACCCCTAGTATGATCCTCAGCTGAGATGACTGGCAGTTTTTCTTCCAGTCATTTAGCAGTAACAAAGCATAAATAATTTGTATTACTACATTAATAAATAATTTAATGCAAACTATCATGTTTACATACAATCTTTACTCAGTATCGACAGGATTTATTCACCGGGAAGTTGGTGAGTGAGACGCATGTGAAGAGCTTCGACCACGAGCTAGGCTTCTTCAGTCCCCAAAAACAAATATTTCTCAAAGGCTGATGGACTGATTACACCAGCTTTACCTCGTAGCTACTGCTGCTTCCAGTTTATTCTCTGTATTTGACTGATGAAATCTTCGGTGTAGGCGAAACACAACAATTACGATACCCAACTGTTGCATATTTGTCTTTCTGGTTAATTTGTCGGTATTAAATACCATTTTGTATGCGTCTCAGGGTGTAGAAGATGAGAGTTGACTTTAATCCTTGTCTTATGGGAAAAAATTCTTATTTGGTGGTGAAGAGATTATGTGACATCTTTTCGAACCCTCGTGCAGTCGATAAGCTTCAAACCCCATTAACCTATTTGATTTTTTCTCAGGGGGACACTGGCGGAGATGCCGACGAGAACGAGAGTGCCGATACGTCAGGTGGGGTAGTGCCGCAGGGCCAGGACAGTGCCAACCAGCCATGTAAGTCTTATGCAGGTTCAGGAGAATTACCCATAATCCTGTGATTACCGTCCACTCGTTAGCAAGAACAGAAGAATGAAGGTTAGAGCTCAGTTTGGGCACTTCATGAGAAACCTGCTCATAAAGTACCCAAACTGCATATGTGCCCCTGAAACAATGCAGCTGACTTTCTGTCAGCGAGTTTTCTGTTAGTGATATATTCAAGTATCCACTGTATAAGTAGACCAGCAATGTCATTTTGTCTAAATAACAAAAAAAGGCACAATACCGTGACTGGAACGATACACAAATAACCCGCACATAAAAGAGAGGAGCTTACGACGACGTTTCGGTCCGACTTGGACCATTGACAAAGTCACACAGTGTGACTTTGTCAATGGTCCAAGTCGGACCGAAACGTCGTCGTAAGCTCCTCTCTTTAATGTGCGGGTTATTTGTGTATCATTTTGTCTACTTCATACAAAATAGCTTATCTTTTTGCAACATCGTATATTTTCAATATACGGAATCAGTCCCAGGAGGGACGGGACGTATGGGCACGTCTCCTAACACCTGCTGTAGTGTACCTGTTGTCCATGAAGATTGAGACACTTATGCAGCATATGGGAATCTTTATTCCTGAATAAAGATTCCCATATGCTGCATAAGTGTCTCAATCTTCAACTTGTCGGTTTTTCAAACCATTCATCACACCTGTTGTCCATGTTCACCAGGCAGTAAATAGGTACCTAGGAGTGGGTCAGAAGTAGCGAGAAACATTTCTGAAAAGGCTCTCAGGATCCTCGACTGCAATATTATGCATCGTTTTTCTTTCTTGGATTAAACTGTCCTTTTCATTAAGCTTTTCAGAAACAACCACAAGTAAGCTGAAGCATCGCGTAGCCAACAGTGATAAAAAAAAATATATATACAACGTAAGACTTCAGTTTGTTTATAGTATGTTCCACATATAAGGCTTGATTCTTTAAGAGTCATATACCGCCTGGAAAATGAAAGGTAATCACCTCTCTGTCCTTGTATATTTTTTTTTTACGTAGTATAGTCCTGTGTACATAATTTCATTCCGAAATTCTTCCTTCGTGTCGGTAGCTGGTGTCGACCCAAGCGCCGACGGGAGCCAAGAAACTCTGCAGGAGCCTCCAGAACGATGTTCCCTCAGGAAATGCCAGCGTGAGTATCCAGGTCACTTGCATAACTCTTTTCTTGGATACACTAGGGTGCACTAAGATACATTAAGGTGTATTAGGATACACTAGGGTGCACTAAGGTACATTAGGGTGTATTAGGATACACTAGGGTGCACTAAGATCCATTAAGGTATAATTGGATACACTAGGGTGCACTAAGATCCATTAAGGTGCAATAGGATACACTAGGGTGCACTAAGATACATTAAGGTGTATTAGGATACATTAGGGTGCACTAAGATACATTAGGATGCGCTAGAATACGCTAAATTGAGTAGGTCCTATTTTACGTAGGTCCTAATTTGCTATCCTATTCTATATGATAGTTTCATATTACCATATTCTATATACTAGCCTGCTAGTACAATATTCTGTATAACATATCGCTACTACACTTCTATATGACAACTAGCTACTACAGTATTCACTGTAGTTTCCTATTATCCTATGCTACGTCATAGTTTACTACTGCCCTATTCTAGATGATAATACGCTACTGCCCTATCCTATATGATAACTCGCTACTACTCTATTCTATATGATAGTTACGTAATGATAGCAATGACTAGTTATTTTTTCCTGACATATTTCATTATATTAACGACGGGTGACTTAAACAATATATTCTGTCTTAATGTTTGGCTGACACACTCTAATCCCAATTAACTAATCTGAAGAGTGTTGGTTATTTAAGCGAGGTCTTGCCCAAATGTACTTGCTCACCTCAAGGACACATTACGTGCACTATGGTAATTCAATGTGGCATTTCAGTATCCGTAGGTGAGAGTATTTAGTGCAACTATTGCCGTATTAGGCAATAGTTGCACTTGTCAGTTGCAATAGTTGCCTTTGTCAATTTAAGAATGGTGACATAGAAAGAGGAATTGATTTTCCTGCATCATTCTTAGATTGGTTTATTGAGGAATATTGCTCCATCTTCCTCTGTCACCGTTCCTTGATTGATGACAGTGAAAAGTGTACTGATGTTCTCGGTGTTAGGGATAACAGGGATACCTGGAGTATGCCTGGAAAGGGTTTCGGGGATAACGCTCCCGCGGGCCGGTCTATGACCAGGCGATGTGTGTTATTATTTTCACTGGGAAACTAAATACTTTAGTCATTCAGCGTTTGGCGAATGAGAGAAGTGTAGAAAGTAATTAGATTTGATGCAAGACCTGACTAGCATGCATGAATCCTAGTGGAAATAGTCTAACCACACCATGGGTGGGGTTAGAACCCGCGGGTTTTATCGCCGCCCGTGCTGAGGTTTGTTTGCAATTGTGTCATTACGTTTTCGTATATCATGGAAATAGTCAATCTGTTCAACTGTTTTTTGGGTGGGTTATCCTATGCAATTTACACCTCTGTTGACAAGTGTTATATGTTGGTGGCAGCTGGGAAAAAGATGAGATTGGTGGATGGAAGGACGTACAGATATCACTACGTGACGAAGAGTATGACCCAGGCATCTGGTTCCTCGCCCTCCAACACAGTCCTCACCATGGATGCTGACTTAGCTCTCACCCTCCTCACTGCCTGCGAGATGGAACTGGTGGTGAGTGCTTGTTCTTGCTCTGCAGATTTTGGAGACAAGACGGAGGATCAAGCCTCCACCACGTCTCGTGCTGAATGACACTCGTGGGTTTAGAGCTTAGCATGAATTATTATTATACATGAATATCGATAAGATAAAAGTTTAGACACATGTGCAATATCTGGGTATCTTTATTGTAGACGTCTAGCCATCCAGTGGCTTTATCAATACAAATTAAAGGACATGATTGGAAGACAGAAGCACTATATACAAAAGATAGGATAATCAGTCCCTCAGCCTTGGAGTTGGTGTGAAGAGCACCGTAGTCTTGAAGATTTGGAGTACAGGCAAGAAGGCT